TGGAGGCGGCGGCGATGCACTAGGCCTCGCTCTGGGGCGGCTGCCCGGGACCCGCAGGTAGGTGTCGGGCCGGCCGCACTCGGCTCCCAGCTCTTCGCGGCCCACCCTCCACCCGACCTCCCGTGGAGCGAGGGACCAAGACCCCACCTCCTCTGTCTTCTCCACGACTCCAAGTGGACAGAGTTTCGGTCACAACTGGCCGGCGCTGAAGCTTCCATTCTCTCCTAGGCCACCTCCTCCTCTTCCTTGTCACTCTCCCACCGGGATCCAGCGGTAGCTCGACTCCCCACCGCCAGCCAGCGGCCGCAAACGCCGCTCTCGCCCCCTTTTGCCCCTCTCCGGGATCAGGGCACAGGAATTTCCACCATGGTTCTTAGATGCTATCCCCAAACTTTCCCTTTCTTTTCTCAGCCGGGCCCTTAGGCCCGTTTTGATGTTACTGGAATAATTTAATTTAAAAAATCATTTTTCTTCCTGGGGAAGGCTAACCCAAAGGATAACTTGCTGTTTTGCAGTTTGGCAATTTAGTTCGCAATATTTTGTTCAGCAATTAATGTTTTTCAGTTCTCCTTCCCATCTTTGCATTGATACAAAGGCAGGCCTCCCCTGCTTTCCCGATGTTGACAAGGAACTTTGCGTGTCCATAATAACTGACCGCTTCGTCTGTACGTGTGCAGATAGTATTTTTAGAATTTTGGTTGAGTCCGGTTGCAGTTTTTAAAAAATTGTCCTTTAACCAGTTTTTTTTTTGCTCTTTATTGAGGCCCTTTTTTTTTTGGAGAGTTAAGTTGTTTGGAAGAATTAAATCGTTTTGGTTTTTGTTTTTAACTGGCTCTTTGATTTGTCAAAACCCAGGGCAATCTTAATAGGAAACGCTTACAAGGCAAGCGATATTATGATAGTATTCTGAGAAGAGTGCTATTCTTGTGAAAACTGCAGATTTTGACATTCAGGTTGACTTTTCAAAATCTGTTGGGAGAGTTCTAATTGGAAAAGTACCTTGAGAGCCTTAATGATTTCTAAGCATTTATGATAGAACAGAAGAAATGATGGGATTTGTTCGTTTGACTATTTTTATTGGTCAGAGTCTGATTTCCTAGATATAGGTATTACTTGATGGTTCAGTTATCATTACTCATAATAGGTTTGGGTAAAAATGATCAATATGTGCAAATTTGAGGTGATTGGTAGTTGTGGTTTGGGGGATTTGATGTTTGCAATTTTATTGTGATTTGACTATTTTTAAATTATGCTCTGGTAATTTCAGAATTATTACACTACCAGGGGAGACATGATCACTTTTAAAAGAAATGAAAAATGTCTTGATGGTTTTCTTTAAAAAGAATGTATTAACAAAACTATAAAAACTGTCCACATTTTGTTTTTTTAAATATTTTTTATTTTCCAATTACAGTTAGCATACAATATTATATTAGTTTCAGGTATGCAACTTGGTGATTAAACATTTATACAATTTATGATGTGATCATTCTGATAAATCTAGTGCTCATCTGACACCATACATAGTTATTACAATTTTGTTGACTATATTCCTTATGCTGTACTTTACATCTCCATGACTGTTTTGTAACTACCAATTTGTTCTTAATCTCGTCTCTTTTTTCACCCACCCTCCTAGTCCCTCTCCCATCTGGCAACCATCAAAATATTCTCCATGAGTTTGTTTCTGTTTTGTTCATTTTTTTATTTTAGATTCCACATGTAAGTGAAATCATATAGCATTTGCCCTTCTCTGTCTGACTTACTCCACTCAGCACAATACCCTCTAAGTCCATCCATGTTATGTTTTGTTGTTGTTGATATTGATATGTTTTGTTCTTGTTAGAGGTATTGTTATTCTAACATTTTGGCTTTCCGAAATGTTTGTCATTGCTG